GAGAGAGAGAGAGAGAGAGAGAGAGAGAGAGAGAGAGAGAGAGAGAGAGAGAGAGAGAGAGAGCTTGGCATCCTAATGTTGGTTCCTTTGTAATGTGTGTGCGTGCAAGTGCACTTCCAGAACCAACGCGATATCGGTTTGGAAAGCGATCCTGACCGACGTTATCGGTTGCCGCCGCGGTAGTGTGAGAGAAGGAGAGTGGACTCCATAGACGCTAAGCAGGTGGCGGTCTGCTGTGCGGAGGGGATGCACTCGAAAAGTCGAGTGAGGTCCCTTCCTCCCTCCCTCCTCCCTCCCTCTCGCTTTCGTGATGGAGTATTATTCCTCTGCGGCTGAGGCTTCGACAACGTATGGAACCAACCCTCAACACCCTCCTCCTCCCCCATTCCTACCTCGGGAAGATCGGATTTTCTCTCTGAGCGGACTCTGGGAGGATCGTGTTCTCAGCAGTAATGGCAGCAGCACCATCAACGGCAGTTTGAGGTGCGGCGAGAGAGGGGGAAGTTTCATCGGGAGAGGGGGAAGTTTCACCGAAGCTGTCATTCTAAGTCCCCGTGGCCACAAGGTTCTCACCGCGGAGATAGACTCCGGGTACGGTTTGCGCGGGAAACGGGGTGTCCGTTTGGATTGTCGGGAATGGGGCCAACATCACGTGCGCTACGCGAGCGAAGACATCGATTGCAGTACTATGGGATACGATGGGAGAGAGGTGGAGATGTGGGATGTGGTAAGTATAACTCCCCGAGAGAGAGGAGAGAGAGGACGTGTCGGGAGCGCGGGCGCGGGAGGAGGCGGCGGCGGCGGCGGAGTGGTGGATCTTGGGGGATTAAGGTGGGGGGAGAAAGGCGGGGTAGGAGGGCACGGCCTGCGATCGCCTGTCGGCTGTGGTCTGAATGCGACAATATGTCGAGGAGGATTCCTCGACGACGACGGGGCTATCGTCGTCTCGGCTTTGGAAAGTAGTGCGCCGTTGCCGGATGGGATAATGGGACCTGGTGGGGAGGGAAACGGGGTCTCTCTCCTCGGGCCCATCGGGGAGAGGGAGGAGGAAGGATGCGACGAGTCCCAAGCATCCATGGCGAACGAGGAGTTAATGGCGGAGGAGTTGGGAGAGGAGGACGAGAACGATGAGGAGGACGAGAACGATGAGGCGGAGGACGAGGAAGACGGCGAGGACATTGTGGGAGAGAATGGTGGTGACGAAGGCAATGGCGGTGATGAAGACGATGAGGAGGACGATGAGGACGACGACGACGTCTTTCTCCGCGGCAGCTATGGCGAGGGATGGAAGCGCCACATTCTGGAAGAGGGAGTGACATTCGTCGTCCTTGGCGATGACGACCGGGCGGGAAAGTGGGAGACAGTGCACGACGGCTTGGTTGATGCCGAAGGTGTGCTGAATGGGATAGAGAAGGAGGAGGAGGAGGAAGATGGGGCGGAGGAGGTGGAGGAGGAAGATGGGGTGGAGGAGGTGGAGGAGGAGGAGGGGTTGGAGGGGATGGAGGAGGAGGAGGAGGAGGAGGAGGAGGAGGAGGAGAAGGAGCGGGGACTGACGGAGGAGAGGCATCGCATGTCGCAGAAAGTAGCTCGACAGGTGTTCAAAGGAGTTCCGGCAGTGCAGGGAGAGCGAGATGGGATGGGTGGCTCTGGCGGCGGAAAGATGGAGAGGAGAGGTAGGGATGACTGCACGCGGACGGCATATGAAACGAGTGAGGAGGAAAGGGGAGGACGTGGAACTTGCAGAGGAAGCGGTAAAGGGGGAGGAGGGGATTTCGGCGTCCTCGGAGCGATGTTGAGGAGAGCGAGTGGGGCATTGATGATGACGAGAAGTAACAGCGATTGGATGCTAGGAATCCGGCACTTGGGGAACATGGCGCGCAGGATAAGGACAAGGAGCCTGGCTCCTACGGACTTACCTAGGAGCGGTCCCTTGATTCCATCACCGCCGTCGTCGTCATCGTCGTCTCAGTTTTCCTCTCCCTGCGTCTCGCATGTGTCAGATGGGCTTGTCAGAGAGGAGGAACCATACCTAGTCGGGATGCCCGTTCTGGGAGACGACTGTACGGTCGGGGACGATCGCTTCTGCAACGCTTCGCTTGACGACTTCCGAGATCTGCACATCATAGGCTATGGGAGGTAAGCTCAGCTCCACATCCGCTACTGCCTTCTTTCTATTACTATGTGTGAGGTACCGACCTAACCACTCGGCCTTCGGACATGTTCATCCACGCGCAGGCTAATGCAGTCCAGGAAGGAGTGTCAAAGGGGAGAGAGAGAGAGAGAGAGAAAAATAGATGAGAACTTCGTGGTCTCTGCTGGGAGGTAATTGTGAGCGATTGATCGCTGAAAGTGAGACAGAAAGATACGGCACATGTTTTTGAATAGAACTAAATTATTGATGGCATGGGGGTGTTACTATATGAGCGTGATATGTACTGTGAATAAAATGAAATGACTTACTATACTGTGGCTTGCGGCACCGGTGGGAAATTCTGGGAGCTGCCGGGGTGAAATTGATGAGTCGTTGTGTCCGGCGGAATGAAATGAATAGCCCTTGATGCCCCCCTTTCTCTGCGAAAAGGTATATCGTGTCTCTGAAATGGACTTCGCAATTTACGGCCCTATGGTGGAGCTGTCCACTTGCGGGATGGATGCCGTCAAAGCACATCTATATATAACGATGCCCGCATTGAACATAAGAAGAGCACATTCGGGCACGTTATACGTACATGTTTATGAATGTATCATGACGTATAGACACGTATTTGTATGTAGTAGCGCAGAGAATATTGTATGGATCTGGATGAATTTGGGTATAATGACGACTTCACCGTGAGCTAAGAGCGCATCGCATAATATGTCGAAATATAAAACATGAAAAAATATGTATATTTGATGGGATGGTTCGTGCTAGCCGTCCTGCTGAATGCTGTGCTGGCGCAGCTCTCCTTGGGCATCCTTGTGAATATCCACATCATCCTCACCGTAGCTGTCCTATCTGCCGAGGTGGGG